CCCTGCCCTCTTCCACCCGGGAGCAGGCCTAAACCAGCAGGGCGTTATCTCCGGAGGGGTGACAGACTGCGAGAGGGCACAGGCCAGGCTGTGCACCCTTCCCCACCGAGTGCACAAATTTTTGTGCACCGGGGCTCTAGTCTACACTAATAAAAGAGAAACATGCAAACTGGTGTCACTCCGCTATGCCCACCAGCCAATCAGGGTGAGTATGCAAATTAACCAAACAAAGATGGCAGTTAATTTGCATATGCAGGCATGGAGCGAAGACTGAAGACTGAAGATGACTGAAGACTGAAGAGCCTTGGCTTCTCTGCTGCAGTTGGAGCAAAAGCCTGGGTCCCGAGTGTTGGAGGAAAACCAGTGCCGGCAGCCAGGGGAATGAAGGCCTATTGCACAAATCTCTTTGTGCAACGGGCCTCTAGTATTATAATAATTATCCTCAGTTCCTCTCTCTTCTCATCTCACTCAGGGAAACAGCCCTCAAATCTTGGTAATTCTACTTCAGAAATCTCATATTCAAACTTTCATCCCCATTCCTGCAGCCACAGCCTTTGTTCAGACTATCTTCATCCTCTGCCTAGCTATTACAACAGCCTCTTCATTGGTGGCTTTGACAGCCTTCCTTTACTCCAGTTCTAGCTGTCAGAGTTATCTTTCCAAAGAGTAAATAGTTTCATGCCATTCCCTTGATTAAAAACATTTATTTGACTTTACATATCCTCTAACATAAGGACACATCATTTCTGTGGTATTCTAATCAAGAGAAGACACCAGCCAAGCCCAGCTGAGTAGCATCATATGAGGGAAAAAAAATGGTCACAGTACTTTTCCAAAGTGTTAAGATCATGAAAGAAAAAGAAAGACTGAGGAGATATCCCAGGAGGACACATAAAATGAAGGGAGGTGATGACTAAATAGAATGCCAGATCTTAGATTGACTTCTGAAACAATAGAACATTAATAGGAAAACCTGTGAAATGCATATAAATTCTGTAGCTTAGTTAATGCTACTCTACTAACTTCTTAATTTTGACCATTGTACTATGATTATGCAAGATGTTAACATTAGAAGAAGCATCACACTAGCATCATATGACAAATTATGACTGCTGGACTTCTCACGCTTATTCACAATTTAATAGGCTTACTTGGGATCACATATGATGGGGGGTGAGGTACCATAATCTTTCAGTACTTAGAATCTGTAGTAGTCTTTATCTAGCCTAATGATGGAAATCATAGGATAAAAGAGCAGGCTTCTAGGGTAGGGGTAATTGTGGAAGGAGAAACCCAGTCTCCTTATATACTTCTTTGTAATTTTGGATACAACCTTTGTCATCTCTTTTGTTGTTGTTGATTCAGAAAGGAAGCGAGAGGAAGAGATAGAAACATCAGTGATGAGAGAGAATCACTGATTGGCTGTCTCCTGCAAACCCCCTACTGGGGATCGAGCCTGGCAACCTGGGTAGGTGCTCTTGACCTGGGACCCTTCAGTCAGCAGGCCAATAATCTGGCTAAGGCTGTCATCTCTTTTGATTCTTCTCTTTAGTTATCCCTTATATTCAACTCTGTTTTTTCTTCCTTAAAAAATACCATCTGGATTTACCTTAAACTCTTCCTTCCACTATTATTGTATAGCATAAACCTTTATCACACATTTTAGAATTATTCGAACAACCTCCTCATCTGATCTTCCTGACAACAGTTTATCCCCTGGCTTTTGTCTGATTAAGCATTCTATAATACTACTTTTATCATATCACACTGCTGCTTCAGAATTAAAATGAATCTCCTTGGCTTAGTGATTCACCCAAACTTTTCTAATTTTTAAAGGTTCTAATAATTTTATACCACCTGGATTAGTAAAATGCCCCCCCCCCCCTTCTTCATATGGGTTATAATCAGCTCAGTTTTTGCCTTCCTCTCCACCTGGCTTATGTTATTACTCCCAAACTACACCAAAAATTGTTGTGCTTCCCTGTCCAGAATAGACTTTACCTTTTGGTAACATCACTCAAAATTTCCTTTGGAGACCATTAAACCGTATCTCAGTCCATGGTTTGGATGGACATGTGACCTAAACCTGGCTAATCAGAGAACCACAGCCCCTTGGTCACAATCAGTTCAATGAAGAGCACACAACTCAAGCTGGTCCAATGGGAGTCCTCAGGGGTTTTGAGGACTTTTAGAAAAGAATAGTGCTCTTTTAGCACTACTAGAAATAGCAACGGACAGATTCCTGATGATATAATTTGAGCTTCTAGATTTACCTATGCATGATCTTTACAGTAATAAGAAACAAATCCTTCCCTCCCCCTTTTGTCTTAAACCAATTTGAATTGGTTTACAAAGAGTATTCCCACATCTTTGCCTCTTCAATTAAAGTCATCCTTAGAAATTTAGCTCTATGCCACTTTCAAACCATTCTCCCCTTTCTTAATTCCCATTACAGCTTACTTAATCCATACTATTTTAACACTAAATCTTCTTAATTGTTTAATGTTTTCTAGCTTTGTACCACAAGCTTCTTGAAGGCTTGGATCCTGAATTACATTTCTCTTGTGTTCAGAACACTTTAGAATTTTTCACACTTAAGATGCAGATTGACTGGTAAATTATTGGATAAGTTACTTTTCTTTAGGAAATCAATGGTTAGAATCTTAAGAATAAATGAAGTCTGGGCAAGCTGTTGCTGATCAGAGCTCAGCTCTTTTGGTAATTTAGTTCCCATCTTACTGATTTAAAAACAAAGATAGCAGGAAAGGGAAAATGATATTAGTGACTATGTTATAAAATCACACTTTTAGGGCATTTGGAGGGGCCTGATAATAACATTAATCATACTTTTAGGGCATTTGGAGGGGCCTCATAATAACTCCCAGTTTTAAAATGTAGGTTTTATTATTTATTCAGGCATGGTGAGACCATGAGATCAGGAGACAGCTGCCCTTGACAAGAGAGTTTGCTCCTTACAAGTACCCAAGAGGAGGGGATGCCACACATGCAGGGCCACACTGGAAGCACTAGGATCATCCATGAGGCAGAAAGAGTGAGGGTAAAGCATGTGTACAAGCCTGTATAGGGGTTTCCACAGGAAAGGAAAGGCAAAGCAGAGTATGCGTGTTAGGATTGACTAGTTGGAATGATTTTAGCAGGATTTGGGGTAGAGACTGTCTCAAATTGGTGCCTGGCCCTGGGTTGATTAGGGAGGGGAATATTGGCTTGGTGTGTGTAAGAATCTGACTAAGGAGGTGGCTGTGGCTTCAGGCTTGGTCGGTTTGCATATGAAAGGTTCTGGGAATTTGTTGCTCTCTAGGTGTTAGCTAGCCCTGGGCGGGGCAGTCTCTTACCAAGAGAAGCTTTGGGTGGCAGAGCATCAAGAATACAGAAAATAAGAAAACATAGTGAATATACTTCTCTATTTCCCACCTAGATGCCAGTGCATTGTTAAGGGCCAGGATTAGATGCTAGTGCCTCGCCAACGGTGAGGCATTGGGGCCCCTGTGCACTTTGGTGGTCTTCCAGAGCAGGTACCGCTTAGAGAGGTTCCTGCCTTTTCCTCTGCTGCCATCGCCAGTCAGGGTCCGATTAGGCTTTTCACAGCACCCTAGACACGGACAAGATGGTAGTGTTCCTCTCCCCTTATGTAAGTAAAAGGAGAATTTCCTTTAGGAAATGAATTAAAACTTAAATTAGGGAGAATTCAAGACCTTCCTTCTAGACTTTGTGAAATAAAAATTCCGGATAAATTCATCAAAGCTTAACCTGTTGTTCTGCTTTTCCCTTCGCTTGTCCTTTAGCTTCTTGCCTGTTCCACGATCCAGCAGTTGCAGGCTCTTGAACTCCACCCACGAGGCCGCTGGCAGGTGTCAGGCCAGCACCACCCGGGAATTCCTCCATCGCTCCTCCCACCCGGCCCTCTGCCCCGCCCACTGTGCGTGTCGTCGTGACGT